CCTCTTTCTTTATCCTAATACAAAAAAATAAACATATAAACCTTTGTTATACCATTAAAACTAAATACTCTTAGAAAACTTAAAGTAAATACATATTTCCTTCAATCTTCATAATCTTCTCACCTATCCAAAAAAAAAAAACTTAAAAATCCTAAACAAATCTAGACACATTTAGTTAAACAAATTATTTTCTCTTAAAAATATTAATAATAATATTTAAAAACTTGAAACACTTTTGAATCCTAAACACATCTAAATACAATCATCATTCTATATAGACTTCCTCCAAAAACACAGATTTAAACATTACTTTCTTTCCTAAACAAATCTATACATTTAATTAAACAAATTATTTTCTCTTAGAAATATTAATAATAATATTTAAAAACCAAATTTAAGCATTACTTGAAACTTAAACAAGTTATACTCCCTTCGAAACACAAATTTATTAGAATCCCCTCACTGAAATAAACAAATTATAATCCCTTCAAAACACAAGTTTAAACAATATTATCATTAAAGATTTAAAACTTAAAGCTGAAATATATTATTATCCCAAAACACATGTTTAGACATTACACAAGACATTTTCCAAAAACGATATAAGTTTTACTTCTCCCACAATCTCAATAGTAAACTTCTTGTCTAAAGTTCTCATTCAATGTCCATAATTTTCTGTCCAATAACCAGTTGCATCCACTATAAACACAAACTTCTTATCTAAAATTTTCATTCAATATCCATAATCTTCTGTCTAATAGCCAGTTGCATCTACTATCAAAATCAATGCAAAGTCCTTTGCAACCATCTCTTTCAGATCTCCTTGCAAAGACTCTCCCAGGCCTCTGATTCTTAAGGCATATTCCATTTGTCCATATTGGAGCATAAGAATCTCATTTTCCATTTCTTTTTCCATACTTTCAATTTTCCCCTCCATTATATCCACTTTTTCAGCTACCTCTTCCACATGGGAGTTCACCTTTTCAAGAACAGAAGCAACTCCTTCTAAAGCCAGAACAAAATCTTGTCTCAAGATCTTATTATTTTCCTCTAAAATCTTTTTCATTTCTGCCCTAATTTGAATTATAACATCTCCCATCATGTCTTGCAAATCCTTCATAGTTATTAGCTGACCCCCAGAAGAGGGTGAAACTGTTGATTTAAAAGCTGTAGAAATACCTGGACGCTTTGGAGCCATCTTAGAGAAAAACCTTTAGTCCTTCTTAAAAAATTATAAAAATTCCTTCAAAAATCATAACTCCCTCCAAAGAAGGTCATTATAATAAAAAGAAAAAAGGGAAAAAAAAGAAGAGAAAAGGAATTAAAAAAAAGCTTTACTCCTTCTTAAATTGCAAAAATTAAACAGAAAAAAATCCTTCAAAAAAGGGTCATTACAATAAAAAGAAGGGAGTTCAAAGGAAAAAAAAAAAAGGGGGGGGGAGAAAAAAAAATAATTAAATAGAAAAAGTCCGTTCCAAAAAAAATACTTAGAAATACCAAGAACAACCATTCCAATCATAAGAAAATAAAAAGAGAAAGGGAAAGGAAAAAAAGAGAAACACCAAAAGGCCTGCCGGTCAGCATTCTAACTTCCAGAAAAAAAACACCGAAAGATTTGCCGATCGCCATTTTACTTTCCCTTTCAACAAAGAAAGAAAAATAAAAAGAGAGAATAAAAATAGAAACAAGTCTTAAAACTTAAAATCCGAATAAATCAAAGAAAGCAAAAACTAAATCCTCTACTCAGCTCTGTCCGTTTATAAAAAAAAAGCACTCACCAGTTCTCTTTAAGCACGGAGGTGTTTGCAGCGGCTCGTTTTGTCCCTGAGGACAAAAACAGCTGGGAAGCGGAGACAAGTCTGAACTCCGTGGGAGCACTCCTTTCACCCCCCCCCCCAAAAAAACTTGGGGGGTGCAAAAGAGGCTCTACCACTATTCAGACACTCTCTACCCCCCCCTTTGCCCGGGAGGGGGATTTTGAACCGCTGAACAGCTGGTGTCTGCTGTTCATAGCGGTTCTTACACTTACCCAGGAGAAACGGCTACAAAGTAGCCGCCATCGCACGCGCAAAATCCACCGGAAGTTCAATGTTGTTGTTGTTGTTAGTTGCAAAGTCGTGTCCGACCGATCACGACCCCGTGGACAACGTTACTCCAGACCTTCCTGTCCTCTACCATCTTCTGGAGTCCATTTAAGTTCACACCTACTGCTTCAGTGACTCCATCCAGCCATCTCATTCTCTGTCGTCCCCTTCTTCTATTGCCCTCAATCTTTCCCAGCATTAGGCTCTTCTCCAGTGAGTCCTTCCTTTTCATTAAGTGGCCAAAGTACTTGAGTTACAACTTCAGGACCTGGCCTTCTAAAGAGCAGTCAGGGTTGATCTCCTCTAGGACTGACCGGTTTGAACGACTTGCAGTCCAAGGGACTTGCAGGAGTCTTTTCAAAAGTTAATGTTAGGACAGGGCTATTTAACGAAGGGAAGGGCTGTTTTCTCTTCAACAAGGGATTTGCTTTCTTGCTTTCTGTTCTCTGCCTAAAAATTCATCCCTATCCTTCCTTTTCTTAATTTGCTCCTTATTTATCTCTATCCTCTCCGCCTTGTTTTTTTTGACTGCCTTCCTGTGCTCAGCCAGTCTTTCTAATTGCCCCCAGTTGCCTCCAGCCGTTGCTCCTCTGAAGTCTCTTCTAAGTTCAGCTAGTTTTTCTGTGCTGAGCTGGTCTTATAGAGCTGGGCAAGTTTGCTAGTTGGTACATCTTGCTGTTTTCTAGCAATAAGAATTAATAGTTCTCCCAAAGCTACCTTTTGAATAGGAGCAATTTCAATTTAATTTCTGTTTATTAGCTCCTTGGGAAATTCAGGCACGATTTGGATTAGGAGCCTAAAACTGTTAAAATCATGGAAACTGATACTACAGTATTCTTTTTTTTTTTTTTACAAATTTTATTTATCATACAGTTAAAAAAAAACATTGGATTTAATGTGACATTCTAGTATATACATTCTTATCAGATTATTCCATTTTTTACAATCAATTCTTCCTCTACATAAACATCTAAGTTTTATATACAACACTTATTCTAAAATAACATATATTTCTATCTTAACATTCATCTTTAATCCCAACCGTCCTCTTCAAATTCCTCCAGCCGTAAAATTTATCCCAGGTTTCAAAATAAACTGATCCACATTTGTCTTTTAATATCATTCTGAGCCTGTCCATTTCCGCACATGCTAATATTTTATGTATTAACTCTTCCTCTGTGGGAATTTCCTTACTCTTCCATTTTTGCGCAAAAGCAAGCCTAGCTGCAGGGAAACTGATACTACAGTATTAATGCAAATTATTTTATCTGCCAAACACCTTGGTGTAAAAGGAAAAGTATGTTAGAATATCTGGCATATATTGGGTTAAGTGCTATCTCCTTAAGAGATGGATTATGGGAAATGCAGTTTATCTAGTCAGTCATCCCATGTTAATGGGTCAGTGGGAGGAGTTTCTAAAGGGCATTGGGAGACTTCCTGGACACAAGCCAGTTTGGAATGTTTTTGTCTAAAGAAGGGCCTGGGCCATCAAATGTCACCCGATGACCCTGTGCCGCTATAAAGATGGTATGGAAGGAGAATCATTCTTTCACCTATAGGAATGGACAAGAGATGTATTATCAGAGGCAATCGTCATGAATGCAAATAATCTATCTGATTAAATATGTTTTTTGTTCCAGGAAATTACAGACCTATCTGCCTGACCTCAATACCTGGGAAGATTCTGGAAAAGGTAATCAAACAACGAATCAGCAAACAAAGTCATTACTAAAAGCCAACATGGGTTTGTCAAAAACAGATCATGCCAGACAAATCTTATTGCATTCTTTGACCAAGTGACAAAATTAGTGGATTAGAGGAATGCTGTGGATATAATTTACTTGGACTTCAGTAAGGCATTTGATAAAGTAGATCACAACCTACTACTCGATGAGATAGAAAAATGTGGGTTAGACAGCATCACCACCAGATGGATTCGTAGCTGGCTGACTGGCCGTACTCAGCATGTGGTCCTCAATGGAACTGCATCTACATGGAGGGAAGTGTGTAGTGGGGTGCCCCAGGGCTCTGTTCTAGGCCCAGTGCTCTTCAACATCTTCATCAGTGATTAGGACAAGGGGATAGATGGGGAACTCATCAAATTTGCGGATGACACCAACCTGGCAGGAATAGCCAACACTCCAGAAGACAGGCTTAAGATACAGGAGGACCTGGGCAGACTTGAACACTGGGCACTATCTAACAAAATGAAATTCAATGGTGAAAAAAGTAAGGTTCTACATTTAGGCAAGAAAAACCAAATGTACAGGTATAGTATAGGGAGTACCTTGCTCAATAGTAGTAACTGTGAGAGGGATCTCGGAGTCCTAGTAGACAATCACTTAAATATGAGCCAGCACTGTGCTGTAGCTGCCAAAAAAGCCAACACAGTGCTGGGCTGCATTAACAGAGGGATAGAATCAAGATCACATGAAGTATTCATACCACTTTACAATGCCTTGGTAAGGCCACACTTGGAATACTGCATCCAGTTTGTACCACAATGTAAAAAAGATGCTGAGACTCTAGAAAGAGTACAGAGAAGAGCAACAAAGATGATTAGGGGACTGGAGGCTAAAACATACAAGGAACGGTTGCTGGAATTGGGTATGTCTAGTTTAACGAAGAGAAGGATGAGGGGGGACATGATAGCAGTGTTCCAATATCTCAGGGGCTGCCACAAAGAAGAGAGAGTCAAGCTATTCTCCAAGGTGCCTGAAGGCAGGATGAGAAGCAACGGATGGAAACTGATCAAGGAGAAAAGCAACTTAGAACTAAGGAGAAACTTCCTGACAGTTAGAACAATTAACCAATGGAACAACCTACCTCCAGAAGCGGTGAATGCTCCAACACTGGAAGTTTTTAAGAAGAGACTGGACAGCCATTTGTCTGAAATGGTGTAGGGTTCCTGCCTGAGCGGGGGGTTGGACTAGATGACCTCCAAGGTCCCTTCCAACTTTTTATTATTATTATTATTATTATTATTATTATTATTATTATTATTATTATTAATAATAATAATCCAATATTGCCAGCCCTTTCTCCATAATTCTGTATTAGATGCAGTCTAGTTTTCCTAATTATTTGTTGGCATTTCATAATTTTTTCATGATGTGAATCTCCTACTAATGGAGAAAAACACAACATCAACCCAATCCGATGAAAGTCAGTGGCAGGTAAAATATGTCCCTACCTTTACACACTGAAAGGATACATTTGGGGGGAAAAGGGGGAAGCAGTAATGATTATATTTTCCCTGAAGGACAAATATTTCTAGAAGTGGTTCCTTATAAAGTAACATTTCACAATACTAAATTTTTGGAAATTATGAAAATCTAGCTTTCCCTGTTTTAAACTTCCTCAAGGTCAAATAACCAGAGAAATCTTAGCGCATTCAGACTAATCAACATTTTCTCAGCAACGTCATTCCTGTACTACCGACACTGAATGCTTTTCCAGACAAAACAGATTCTGAATAACTTTGGAGTTCCAATGCTGTGGAAATCGGAAACTTTGATTTCTCCACAGACAAGAAACAATCAAATACATTTAACCAGGAACTTAGAAGAGCTGAGTGACTTGTGGCCAGTCACATTCTCTCTGTCAACTTTGAAAAACTTAGAGTGATACCGACACTACCTCAAGCATCTAACAGGGGTGTCAAACTGCCGGCCCGTGGGCCAAATGCATCATCTGGAAGCCGCACCCACCCCACTGCCAGCAATGGCAAAACTGTCCCGATACATCTTGCTACGTCACGAGTTTGACATGTCTGATCTAGAAGAAAGTCATGACAAGATTTAACACACAAACTGAACAAATGCAGAGCTGATATGTTTGACACCCACCCCCTAAAGGTTGCCTTTATAAGGAACCACTTCTGGAAATAAGTTCATATTGATTTTTCAGGGAAAATATAATAATTACTGCCTCTTATTTTTTTTTTCCCCAATGCATTCTGTGTGTGTAAAGGTAAGGACATTTTTTGTCTATCACTGATACTAGTGTGAGTATCTAATGCCCCTCCGTTCAATTTTGATTTTGATCTATACTGCATGAAATTTGAGGCAATGTAAATAAACTTGGGGATAGTTCTTGCAAAAGCCAAATATTTGGAAGTCCTTATTAGTAATCAGAAATCTGAATAAGGAAGAGTAATATGGTTATAGTATTTCTCTTTCCTCTCCTTTGGGGTCCTTTCACGAAGAATTAGGGGAGAAAAGAAGAAATCAGACAAGATGAATGAGATTCCCTCCAGTATATAAGGAGTCTGCTTTTACCCATCGACTTCTGAGTCGCTCTCTTCAGCCTTCTGTGGTAGCCTTTTAATGCTAATGATTAGGTCAACACTAAGCAACTGCGCTGCACACTGAAGCACAGAAGCTACTAAGTGATACTTACAAGACACTGATTCTAGAAGCTTTTGATCTGGCAGAAGCTGCTGATTGCTTTTGAGGGCATTGGTAACTTGAAGACAGAGCTGAGGAAAAGCATTCCTTTTTTGTGTCAGGCAGAGTGTTTTTGGAACACTAAGCAATACATCAGCAACTATAGAACAAATGATGGATGTATTTGATGACTGGCATTGTTTTGCGTAGTTAGATAGATAGTAATGTAACAGAATTTCAAAGAGCCCGCCTACTGGCAAAACTGTTCCCGATTCTATGTAAGAGTCAGAATCATTCTGATTACCCCTTTTATCGTTCCCATCATATTTAAGAAGCCTGGCACAACTGACTGTACCAGCTTGCAGCTGTACATTTTTATCAACTGTATTATAAGCAGGCTGATTATCTTCAAGAAGTTCGGTCTCAGTCATTTGCAACCTTTCTTTTTGAAACGTCTGTTTTAAAGAAGTCGCTCGACAGCCAATTAACTCATCAGCCTTTTTCTGGAATAATGAGCTCTTAATACCATGCATCACATCAACAGAAGGCATGGCTATGCTTGAAGAATTATAACTGGATGAATGGAGTAACTTTTCATCTCCCACAGAAAAAGATGCAGAGCGTTTCTCCATTTTAAGCCCACAAGGTGTAAGGTGCTTGGTGTTGGTTTGAAGTTTTCTCCAATCATTGCGTTCCTGAAATAACGGCTGATGGGGAGATAAATGTTGCTGAGTTTTATTTCGACTATTCAAAAGACAGTGATTTTCCAGTTCCGAGTCACAGTTCTGAGACAGTTGAATTGCTGTAAACATTTGTTGTAGCATTTTGAATGCTTCACGAAAAGCAGACGCGTGTTGCTCTGTAACTCCATGTACTGGTCCACAGAGAATCACACAATGAAGCTGGATGGTAGAGGTTTTCGCAAAGCCAATGTGAACAAATCTTTTGATTCCAAGGTGGAAGGGCTGGCAAAATTTTGCTACAGCTGTTTGAGTGATTTCACTGTTAATGTCATCCAAAGATGGTTTGAAAGGTGAAATTCCAGTAATCTTGCAAATAAGAGAGATTTCCTCCATCAACAAGCAATCTGCAATAGATATGCCATTATTTTTTGCACAGCGATGAACAATAGCATGCTGTTTTACACCTGATAGTATTACTTTGATGTCATTGTCTTGCAAGTGCTGTAGAAGAGTTTGGGTTCTTTTTGTAATCCAGGTTTCTGATGCCTTGAATTCACCTTCCGCAGTTATGACAACTTCTATACCCAACTCAGATACAGAGGAATGAATAGGTTCTGTTATTATTATAATTCTTTTATCACCATCTGCAGGACAGTATACTGCAAAGTCTCTGTGAAGTAGTACGCCATCTAGGATCCTGGAATCTGAAAAAGGAAGGCCTGTCACAGTGGTGTGCAGTTCTGCAAAATGTTCATTCACCAAGTATAATGCCTCATTCTGCTTTTTACCAGCTGTAACTTTGAAGTAGAAATCACATGCCAAATGAGTTAGGAGCTTTTGTCTATTAGTTCCTACTTTCCCACAAAAATAAGGTTCTAACATTAACTCCATACTCCGTCTTATATCTGAATCAGAAGCAGAAAAGATTGACCGAAAATGTTTCTTAAGGTCCCATGTCATTATATGATCCAGGATGTTTGTTTGAATCTTCACAAGAAACTGGGAAATGTGTTTCAAACTGCAGTATTTTCCTTGATCTCTTTTATTAAGTTTTTCAAATTGTTGTAGTAAATCAGAAAGCAGAATGATAAATGTTTTAGCACCATCTCCAAATAAATTGCAGTGTGTAGAAATGCATGCTATCATAATTCTGTTAAAACCAAAGAAGAAACCAATTATTAACTTAAAAAACTTTATTTCAAACATCTGAAGTATCTAAAACTCTCCAACTTCTACCCCAAAAGGGTTCTTGACAAGACCCACATATATCTATAAAAGATTGCTAAACATAATTATCTTGTTTACATATGAATCTTCATGCTATGATTTCATGTACAAGCTGAAATTAATCCCTTCTAAGCATATCTGTCTTTGAAAAGATTGATTTGTTTGGAACTAGCAGAGACTAAGCAGAAAAACAGATCTTGGGGAATTGTTGAATACTTAAATGAGAATCTAAATACAAGATTTCATTCATTTCATTCATTCAGGGAGGGATTGGAAAAGCAGAGAATCAAATATTTGGCAACAATTATTAGCATTCCTTGGAAAACATGATTTCCTAGATTGCTTTAGTTAAGTCAGTGGTTCTCAACCTTTTTAATGCCGCAATCCCCAACCGGTCGTAAGTCGAGGACTACTCAACTGGTACAGCACCGTTTGCAGAATGGGACTTTTGGCGGGCTCAGCAGGGCAGAGACAGCCTGGACAATTCCTATCGGCTTTTGAAAGCCAATGGAATTAGACTCTATTCAAGAGAGTCTATTCTATTGGCTTTCAAAAGCCAATAGAATAAAAGGGAGTAGCACAGCTAAGGAAAAGGGGAAAAAAATGGTGGACTGCGTTGTTTGGCGACCCCCGTGAAATGGTCGTTCGACCCCAAATGGGGTCCCAACCCACAGGTTGAGAACCACTGAGTTAAGCAATATATGCAGCCCTCTGTTCTGGTAGGAAGAAATGATAGCATCAATGCCAATACTGCAAAGTCCTCAATCTAATGTACAAGAGGGTTTTTGTCCAGCTTTAACTCATGTTTCAGTTGCAGGCATTTCCAAGTCTTTGAATAGCTTCAAAAATGCTAATGTGGTAAATTAGTTGTTTTTTACTATAATACATTAACTTCTGTTATTAATATTTGCATATTACCTAAAGCCCTATGGAATTAAGTTGCTATAATTTACATTAAGAAAATAAATAAATAATACTATAAACTGGTAGTATCACGCGGTGTTAAGAAAACATTTTCTATATTAGCCCAGTTGCTCGATAGTGAGAAAGCATATAAATTTAATAAATAAATAAATTCATACACACATACATTTGGAGTAATAATAATAATAGTAGTAGTAAAGTTGGTAGGGACCTTGGAGGTCATCTAGTCCAACCCCCTGCTCGGGCAGGAAACCCTACACCATTTCGGACAAATGGCTGTCCAGTCTCTTCTTAAAAACTTCCAGTGTTGGAGCATTTACTGCTTCTGGAGGCAGGCTGTTCAACTGATTAATTGTTCTCACGGTCAGGAAGTTTCTCCTTAGTTCTAGGTTGCTTCTCTCCTTGATTAGTTTCCACCCGTTGCTTCTTGTCCTGCCTTCAGGTGCTTTGGAAAAATAGCTTAATTCCCTCTTCTTTATGGCAGCCCCTGAGATATTGGAATACTGCTATCATGTCCCCCCTTGTCCTTCTCTTCGTTAAACTAGACATACCCAATTCTAGCAACCGTTCCTTATATGTTTTAGCCTCAGTCCCCTAATCATCTTTGTTGCTCTTCTCTGTACTCTTTCTAGAGTCTCAACATCTTTTTACATCGTGGTGACCAAAACTGGATGCAGTATTCCAAGTGTGGCCTTACCAAGGCATTGAAGAGTGGTATTAATACTTCATGTGATCTTGATTCTATCCCTCTGTTAATGCAGCCTAGCACTGTGTTGGCCTGTTTGGCAGCTGCAGCACACTGCTGGCTCATATTTAAGTGATTGTCTACTAGGACTCCGAGGTCCCTCTCACAGTTACTACTATTGAGCATGGTGCCACCTATACTGTACTTGTGCATTTGGTTTTTCTTGCCTAAATGTAGAACCTTGCTTTTTCCACCATTGAATTTCATTTTGTTAGTTAGTGCCCAGTGTTCAAGTCTGTCCAGATCCTTCTGTATCTGAAGCCTGTCTTCTGGAGTGTTGGCTATTCCTGCCAGCTTGGTGTCGTCTGCACATTTGATGAGTTCCCCATCTATCCCTTCATCCAAGTCATTGATGAAGATGTTGAAGAGTACTGGGCCCAGAACAGAGCCCTGGGGCACCCCACTACACACTTCCCTCCATATAGATGCAGTTCCATTGAGGACCACTCGCTGAGTCCGGCCGGTCAGCCAGCTACAGATCCATCTGGTGGTGGTTCTGTCTACCCCACATTTTTCTATCTTGTCAAGTAGTAGGTTGTGATCTACTTTATCAAATGCCTTACTGAAGTCCAAGTAAATTATGTCCACAGCATTCCTCTGATCCACTAATTTTGTCACTTGGTCAAAGAATGCAATAAAATTTGTCTGGCATGATCTATTTTTGACAAACCCATGTTGGCTTTTAGTAATGACTTTGTTTGCCTCTAGGTGTTCGTTGATTCGTTGTTTGATTATCTTTTCCAGGATCTTCCCAGGTATTGAGGTCAGGCTGATAGGTCTGTAATTTCCTGGATCCCTTTTTTTTCCTTTTTTGAGGATGGGAACTACATCAGCTCTTTTCCAGTCCTCTGGTAGTTCCCCTGTGCTCCAGGATCTTTGAAAAATATAGTTGAGTGGCTCCAATATCACATCTGCCAGTTCCTTGAGAACTCTGGGGTGTAATCCGTCTGGTCCTGGCGATTTGAACTCATCTAGGCTGGACAGGTGCTCACTAACCATTTTCTTGCCTATCTTAACTTGTGTTTCTGTTTTGTTTTTTATGGCACTATTTTTGATAGGTTGGTCTGTTTTTTCCCTTTGTGTAAAGACAGATGCAAAAAATGAGTTAAATAGTTCTGCTTTCTCCCTGTTGCTTGTCACCTGTATTTTGCTTTAGTTAAAAAGGATGATAAAGAAAAAATCGCAAGCTTTTATAATTTTTGCCTCAGGCAAGCCTGAAATTATAGATAGTAGTAACAGCTCATATTAAGTTTCCTCTATGAGACAAGAAGTCAAGTTCTGCTTTGTTAAGTAGAGACGGTGAAATTACTTTCCTGTTAGCTCAATCTTTGGAGCTGGTTCTTGTGTGACAACTTGTCCATTCCTGCTTTTGAGCAGGAAAGATTAGTTGTATGAGTGCATGTTATATTGCTCAGTGGCTCTTTTACCATACAGTGATCTATTTCTACCTTTCCTTGTCTTTGGAGGCAGAATAATTTATGTTAGATCTAAATATCTCCACAGGAGGGGTAAACATAACAATTTAATAAAGAATTGTGAAGTCCTTGATGCTCAGAGCTTGTTGATTATTTGCAGACTTTTATTGCCCAAGTAGATAACATCATTACTGCTGGTGATTCAGCTTTGAACTACATATACTCTCTTCTATTAATAAAGAATATAAAAACAGAAAGCATTTATTGAAAACATTATTTTCTCATCAGTGGAAAGTGATCCTTTCAAGGGATTGCTTCCAAGGTAAAGGGTGCTTAACAAATACGAATATGGAATATAAATAAATAAAATAAATATATTACTAGCTAGATCAGCGGTTCTCAACCTGTGGATCGCGACCCCATTTGGGGTCGAACAACCATTTCACGGGGGTCGCCAAACAACGCAGTCCGCCATTTTTCCCCCTTTTCCTTAGCTGTGCTACTCCCTTTTATTCTATTGGCTTTTGAAAGCCAATAGAATAGACTCTCTTGAATAGAGTCTAATTCTATTGGCTTTCAAAAGCCAATAGGAATTGTCCAGGCTGTCTCTGCCCTGCTGAGCCCGCCAAAAGTCCCATTCTGCAAACGGTGCTGCAAGTTGTCTGCAGCGAAGGCGAGCTGTCTGGAAGTTTCCACCCCTCCCTGCTGAGCAACTACTAAAAATGTAAGTAAAAGAGGGCCAGGGGTGGGAGGTGGGAGGCCGGCGGGTGCAGGGAGGGTTGCTGGCGCATGTGGGGCCCGGCGGGTGCCTTACCTCCCTTGGGCTGGGCCAGCTGGTGGCCCAGCCAGTGGTCACCCTGCGCTGTTGCTGCCCCTTGCCAGCTACGCCTCAGCCGGCGCAGGGGGCAGCACCACGCATGCACGGCACTCCTGGGCAGGGAAAGTCGACTTACAACCGGTTGGGTAGTCCTCGACTTACGACCGGTTGGGGGTCGCGGCATTAAAAAGGTTGAGAACCACTGAGCTAGATTTATTAATCCTATTTTACTATTGTGATTGTATGAGTGTATGAGTATGAGTTTCATAAGGAATATAAATATAGTGTACTTTAATATATACTTGGGTTGCGTACTAAAAATGACTGAAAATAATCAAAGAAGCAGATTCAATTAACAGGCAAACATTTCATTTGCATAGCAGGAGACATAATCTAATCCCAGGTTTGCATCACAGGAGAGGATAAAATGTGGTTAGCTAATGGTCCAGAACTCAGCTGAAACTAAAATAACAATACTGCAAAAATGATTTATCTGGTTTTGGCTTAACTATAATCATTTATAGTTTGTGATACGAAGTGTAGGGGAAACAAGGGCTTGGCACCCACATGACCTTCAGGTGCTACACATTTCAAAGCAGGATGAGGGAAGAGCAATTTTCCTGCTCCACTTTCAGTGCCACTGGGCTTAGTATCCTTCTGGACCATCTCTGATGGGTTAGAATGGGAGACATGGTCTTACAGATGCTCTTCTCCTCCTTGAAGGTAGCAGTTACACTCAAAGGAGGGACTATCTCCTCCCAAATTCAGCTGCTGCTTGATGAGATGGCAAGTCTTGCAAGGAGGGCTTTTGCAGTTGCATGTAGTATGCCGATGCTGGCCATTCTTGGATCGGAAAGCCTTGCTCACACTCTCTCACACGCTAATCATTTCCCAATTGGTTTACGGTAGTGCGCTCTATATAGAGTTGCCCATAAAGAACATTTGGAGGTAGTAGTGCAGAATGCAGCAGCCCAAGCAGTGAAGGGAGATACCTGGGATCTTCCAGTGGCTGAATCATGGCTTCCAGGCATGATTCAAAGTAGCAAGTTTCACTCTGATGGTCCTAGGTGGCTCTGGCCTGATCATTTAACCCACCATGGGTATTCTCTGGATCAACTCCAGGCCTCATCCTTACTCAACCGCCCTTTGATGGAACCTTTTTCTATATTCCCCCCCCACACACACACACACACTTTCCAACTCCCTTCCTGAAAAAAACAGATCTTAGGCTGTTGGTTGATCTCCAAGCTTGGTGATTTGGCTGCAAACGTTCGCCAAGCTCAGAGATCCAATCAACAGCCTAACTATCAACCCGAGTTACAGTACTAATATTCAAATACATCTCAAAATCAGATCGTTCCTAATCCTCCGGAGCTTTGGGAAATCCGACAAAGCCTTCCTGGAAGGTGACATCCTATGCCTGAAGGTGAGGTTCACCACTGCATGGCTTTTGTACGAAATGGCTTTGATCCCGGTTTTGTAGTTTTTGATATTTTTATGCACGTTTGGGGTTTTATTTTCTTTGCGGGTCTTATAAGATTGTATTCTATTTTCGGATGAGACCGTTAGCTTCAGGATTGGACGATCTATCAATGGAACCGGAAAACCAATAAAAATAAATAAGCCTCGCCGTCTCTTGTTCCCGTTGTATGATCGGCCAAGCCCCAGGCCAGCCTCTCCTTTCCCCCGCAAGCCGCAAAGCGACCTAGGCCACAAGTTCGACCCGAAAGCGGCTACCTGGCCGTTGGCGAGTCCACATTCAGGGCCTCCAGCACACGCCGTCCGTCTCGGGAAAGCAGGACCTCTCCCGTGGGGCGGGTGAGCAGAACCTGCCCTCCGTGGGGGCCGAGAGACCCGCGGACCACCCCCGCAAGGGCCGCGGCCTCCTGAACCAAGCGGCCCAGCTCCAAGCGCACCGCGGTCGCCATGGGAACCAAGGCCGGATCTGGTCCAGACACAGAGAACGGCCGATAGTGGCGTCACCACCGCCCGCGCTCGTGATTGGCGGGACTTGGAACCATTTGGCGGAGTTGATTGGTGGAACTTAAACTGGGGTGTTTTTTTCCCCCTCGTTTAATTCTCTCGAGCGAGTCTCCTCGTGCGTGAAGTCGATCCTCGGTGTGGCAGTGGCGGTCATCTTCCCCTTTCTCTAGAACAGGGGTTCTCAACGTTGCCAAGGTTGAGAACCCCTGCTCTAGAATAACGTTATGTGTGTGTGTGTGAGAAAAGTTTTCCTCACATATTCAGGAGTCTAGTTTTCGAGAATGGCTTCAGTACATATATCCTCCAAAACACTGATTCTCTCTTGCCTCTCCCCCCCTCCCCAGTTCCTCTACAATGATATTGGGGAATGACATCTTTAAGAAATTCCGAAATATCCTGAGGCGGTTCTCGGAGGAGCGTATTCCCACCACCCCCTGAAGGTCGAGCTCTTTGAGGGATTTCACCGTCCGCACGAGAGGGGATGCCATGCGCGACTCTTCGTCCCTATGACGACGAGTAATCCTCGCGCGCTCAACGTCACATCGCACTAGGCTCCTGTGGAACAGTTAACCCCGCCTCTTTCCCCTTCCGATTGGCCCGAGCTTCATAAGGCCATCTCGGCCTAGCGCCACCGATTGGCCAGCTGGGGCTGAGCCGCGTGGAGCGCGGCGTGCCAGAGGGGGCTTGGAAAGGCGCGAGTCATTAGCATAAACTCCTCCCCCTTCTCATATGGCCTCCCTCGCCTCAGAGCGCTCCTCGCCGGCTTCTCCTGGAGCATCCTCGACCGCCCGGCGCACTTTCGGCGCGGAGGTGGTGGGAGCCGCAGCGAGCTCTGCGGCTTCGAGGCAAGCAGCGTTGGGTCGTCCCGAAGGAAGACGAGCCCTGACGGGGACCCAGAGCTTCTCCTCCCGTTTGAGGGGGGGCGTAAGAGAAGGGGGTGCAAACTCAAGCAACGGAAAGAAGACGCGAGTCGCCTTTTCTGCTTGTCCCCTTTGGCCTTTGGGACCGAATCGGAGACGAGGCGGGGTGTGTGTGAGAACCCCCCCCCATCCCATCTTCTCCCTCAGTCTTCGGCTATAGATGCAGGTATTTTAAAGCCTCTGCCTGGCTGGGTCAGGTGCGGGCTTGCTTCCTATCCATTCCTAAAAATGCCGGGCTTGCTTCAGCATTGAACTACCTTTCCATCATCCCCAGCCCTTATGGTCAGGAACCTGTATGGGACCAGCCCGGGGGAGACTGATGGAATATAAACTGATGCTTTCCATCTGGGCCAGAGGGCTGGCCTCATCCGGTTTGAATGACAGCTGTTCTTTTTTTTTGTTAATCAAATCTCTGTTTTTGTTTCAGGATCGTGTAAAGTATTTTGAAAGAAGAAGGGGAAAAACCCACCATGATGGACTGCAGCATTTTTCTCATACTGGCTTGACTGGATGTTTTACTTTCTTAAACACCCACAGGGACAGGCAGGTTATTTTAGCTGCCACTCTTGGTGGATGAAGGGTCAAGCACCCTAAAATTTACACACACACACACACACACACACACCGTTCAACAGTAAGAAATAAGTGGTACCATTCTCAAGGTACATCCATTATTTTGACAGAGTATCTTCACTTAGATATTAGGTTTTTTCTGACCAAAAAGGAATTTTGAATCAAATGTGTGGTACAGAAAAACAATTAGGATAAGGTGAATGAGCTTTACATTACTGCAGTTTATGGACATAGACGAAGGCATTTTGAGAGAACATGGCAGGAGAAGTTTTGAGCTTATATTTATGTTGAGCAATAAACAGTGTTCTTATTAAACCAAACTAGTGATCCTTGAAAGCTATGTTTGCTCAAACTATCCTTCAATTTATGAAATGTAACAAGAACCTTCCTTATTCTTAAGCAAGCGTGAAAAACTGTATTTGGCAGTATTCTTCATAGCCTCTGCTAAAACAAATGTTGGAAACCTGTGCCCTGAACGGCATATTGTAGTTTTGTACAGTATATAGTTACACATATTGTTACATATATAGTTTAGATTGTGGTTAGCAATCCTAAATAGAGTAGGACAAGTTTTGTGTCACAAAATGGTTCTTCATGAAATACAGTGCTCCTACAAATGCCTTGAAATTTCCTGACTTCTTTGACTCTGTGTAAGCTTTTTTTTATACATGCATTTTTTGTCTTTATAAAATCTTTAAACAATTTTGTACATCTTTGGACATATAAAAACAGAGCACTCACAATGTGGACTTTTCTGGGCATTGCTTCCTTTATCTATGTCTACAAAAAATGTGGAGATTTGCTAAGTTATGCCAACAAGGAGATGCTCATTTCCACGCTGGTGTTTTTTTCTCTTGGCTTGATGCTCTCTTATTGGTACCGATCGTGGGGACCCCAGCCACAGAATAAGCAGCAACCTCATTGTGGAATGTTTTCCAATTTTCTTGCTGCCTTGCCATTTGTTGGCTTTTTCTGGACTAAATCCCATGCTGATTCTACGGAGAAACTGCAGCCAAAGACCAAAAGGGTATGTTATTTTATTTGAATAGTTTAAGAGAATAGTCTTATAAATTTGTGTTCCATTTGCAAAATTCAAATTGAAGAACAGATGTTAGATGATTTTACTACTATAGAAGTATTCACTTATATAAAACTTTATACTTTTAATGTTTTATTGATTTTCTAATTTTACATTTAAGTATTTAAAAAGCAATATGGCGGCTGAGTTAATCGATAATTCAGTGACATACAAGTATCTTTTGTACAAGTCTCAAACTACCACATTAAATATTTCTTCTCTTTTCCCCTTAGTATTTACTTTCACATGTTTAAAGTAATACAATTCTTATTATATCAATTAAATAAAAATAACATTCTTACATTTATCAATAATTTTTAGCTTATATATATCCTGGTTATTTTAACATTCAGTCTTTATAGACAATCAATGTCCTAATTAGTTTCTCCCAATTTTTAGTTTCCCGTTAATATTTAAATTTAACATTTAATGTTTATAATTTCCAAGTTTTAAGTAACCAAAGTTCCCTATCACAGTTCATCACAAAGTCTAATATTCAGGATACACGTCTTATCTATTTAAATATTTATTATTTATTTATTTATTAAAATTTATAGACCGCCCCACTCCCGCAGGACTCCGGGCAGCTAACAATAAAAAAAACACAATATAACTTAACAAGACAAACAATACAGTAACATTCATCCAGGGGTCAGATTTTATAAACCCCAGGCCTGCCGGAAAAGCCAGGTCTTAAGCAGCTTGCAGAAAACCAACAGGGTGGAAGCGGTCCTAATCTCCGGGGGGAGCTGGTTCCAAGACGTGGGTGCCATCACAGAGAAAGCCCTCCCCCACGGCCCCACCAAATGGCACTGCTTGGCCGATGGGACCTGAAGGAGGCCCAGCCTGTGGGATCTAACCAGACGAAGGGAACTATGAGGTAGTAGGCGGTCTTGCAAATAGCCTGGCCCTGAGCCATATAGAGTTTTAAAGGTAATAACCAACACCTTGAATTGGACCCGGAGACCAATAGGCAACCAGTGCAGCTCGCGGAGGATAGGTGTAACATGAGTGTACCGAGGAACACCCGCTATCACTCGCGCGGCTGCATTCTGGACCAACTGTAGTCTCCGAATGCTTTTCAAGGGTAGCCCCATGTAGAGCGCGTTGCAGTAGTCCAGGCGTGAGGTGACAAGGGCATGAGTGACTGTAAGGAGAGCCTCCCAGTCCAGGTAGGGTTGCAACTGGTGCAACAGACGGACTTGTACAAAGGTCCTCCCAGCGACTGCCGTCAAATGATGTTCCAGTTTCAGCTGTGGATCAAGGAGGACACCCAAGTTGTGAACCCGCTCCGAAGGGGGTATATTTTCCCCTGCTAGAGTCAACACTGGACAGTTAACATGATCCTTGGGAGGCAACATCCAAAGCCACTCGGTCTTGTCAGGATTGAGCCCGAGTCTGTTAACCCCCATCCAGACCCTCACGGCTTCAAGGCAACGGCCCATCACATCAGCCGCTTCACTGAGAGAGCTTGGGGAAGAGATATATAGCTGGGTATCATCAGCATACTGATGAAACCTCACCCCGTGCTGTCTGATGATCTCACCCAGTGGCTTCATGTAAATGTTAAACGGGGGAGAGGACCGACCCCTGCGGCACCCCGCATTCAAGGGGCCTCGGGGTTGACCTCTGCCCCCCACCAATACCGATTGCAACCGGCCAGAGAGGTAGGAGCAGAACCACCGTAAAACGGTGCCTCCCACTCCCATCCCTCCAAGTCATCGCAAAAGGATACCATGATCGATGGTATCAAAAGCCGCTGAGAGGTCAAGTAGCATCAAGACAGAGGAATAACCCCTGTCTCGGGCCCGCCAGAGATCATCCATCAGCGCGACCAAAGCAGTTTCTGTGCTGAAGCTGGGCCTGAAGCCAGATTGAAAAGGGTCTAGGTAATCCGCTTCATCCAGAGACCGTTGGAGCTGGAGCACCACCACTCTCTCTACAACCTTCTCCAAAAAGGGGAGATTGGAGACTGGACGGAAGTTATTTAAATCAGCCGGGTCCAGGGTAGGCTTCTTGAGAAGGGGCCTCACAACCGCTTCCTTCAAGGGTTGCGGGAAAGATCCCTCCCTCAACGAAGCATTGATCAACACCTGGAGCCAGCCTCGTGTCACCTCCTTGACGGCCGAGACCAACCAGGAAGGACACGGGTCCAATAAACAAGTGGAGGCACTCATCGCTCCCACTGCTCTGTCAACATCCTCAGCGGTCACCAACTCAAATTCATCCCATAAAACTGGGCTAAGACCTGCCCCGGTCATCTCAGAAGGCCCTGCCCAATCGGAGTCTAGGTCTGTCCGAATCTGAGCGATTTTGTCTGATAGAAACTGCACAAATTCTTCCGCCCTACCCTGTAAGGGCTCCCCGGCTTCCCGAACATTAAGTAGGGAACGGGTCACCCTAAACAGGGCGGCGGGGCGAGATTCTGCAGACACAATAAGTGTGGAAAAATGCGAACATTTTGCCGCTCGTATCGCCACTAAATAGGTCCTAATATAGGCTCTTAAAAGTGTCCGGTCGGGTTTGAAGTTACTAGCCCTCCAGCATCGCTCTAGACATCTCTTCTGATACTTCATCTCCCGTAGCTCCTTGGTAAACCAAGGTGCCCTCCAGGATCCACAATCACAGAGAGGTCGCAAAGGCGCGATCCGGTCTAACGCCCCTGATGCCGCCTTATTCCAAGCAGCAACCAAGGACTCAGCCGGTTCGTGGAGGAGGGAATCAGGAAAACCCCCAAGCGCTATTCGGAACCCCTCCGGGTCCATTAAACACCTGGGGCGGAACCACCTAATCGGTTCCGCCTCCCTGCGGTGGGGGAGTAGGACCAAGAAATCTAACCTCAACAGGAAGTGATCCGACCATGACAAGGGAGAAGTAGCTATACCCCTTAAATCAAAATCACGTCTCCACTGCCCCGAGAGAAATACCAAGTCGAGCGTGTGTCCTCCCCTATGGGTCGGACCCTGAATTATCTGGGTCAGGTCCATGGTTGTCATGGAAGCCATGAACTCCTAAGCCGCACCGGAGGATTCGTCGAGTGACGGCAGATTGAAATCCCCCAGAACCATAAGCCTGGGGAATTCCACCGCCAACCTGGCTACCCCCTCCAGCAGCTCGGGCAAGGCTGTTGTCACATAGCTGGGAGGCAGGTATGTCAGCAACAAGCCCAACTGAACCCTTGAATCCAACCTCAAGAGAAGGGACTCACACCCAACAATCTCTGGGGCAGGGATCCTGCGAGGTCTCAAGGATTCTCGGACAAGAATCGCCATTCCCCCACCCCTTCCCTGGAATCGCGGTTGGTGAAACCCGTCTGGGCACATCTCTGAGAGAGGAACACCTCCCTCTTGGCCCAGCCAGGTCTCAGTAGTACATGCCAGGTTGGCCTCCTCATCCAGTATCAGGTCCCAGATGAGGGGAGCTTTATTAATAACCGACCTGGATTAAGAAGCAGCAACCTGAGAAATATTCTATTTCTCACCATCTTACATCATCTAATTAATAATACAATATAACATTCTTATTTTCTATTAATTTCCAAACGTCTTGAATTTAATAAGCAAAATTTCTCTTGTTTTAACATCAAATACTTCCTCTCTTTTTCTCTTAATGCAGTGGTTCTCAACCTGTGGGCCGCGACCCCATTTGGGATCAAACAACCATTTCACAGGGGTCGCCAAACAACGCAGTCCACTATTTTTTCCCCCTTTTCCTTAGCTGTGCTACTCCCTTTTATTCTATTGGCTTTTGAAAGCCAATAGAATAGACTCTCTTGAATAGAGTCTAATTCTATTGGCTTTCAAAAGCCAATAGGAATTGTCCAGGCTGTCTCTGCCCTGCTGAGCCCGCCAAAAGTCCCATTCTGCAAACAGTGCTGCAAGTTGTCTGCAGCAAAGGCGAGCTGTCTGGAAGTTTCCACCCCTCCCTGCTGAGCAACTACTAAAAATGTAAGTAAAAGAGGGCCAGGGGTGGGAGGTGGGAGGCCGGCGGGCGCAGGGAGGGTTGCTGGCGCGCATGGGGCCCAGCAGGTGCCTTACCTCCCTTGGGCTGGGCCAGCTGGTGGCCCAGCCGGTGGCTGCCCTGCGCCATCGCTGCCCCTTGCCAGCTACGCCTCGACCGGCGCAGGGGATGGCAGCATGCATGCCCGGCGCTCCCAGGCAGGGAAAGTCCTTGACGTACGACCGGTTGGGTAGTCCTCAACGTACAACCAGTTGGGTAGTCCTCGACTTACAACCGGTTGGGGGTCGCAGCATTAAAAACGTTGAGAACCACTGTCTTAATGTCTACGATCTCATATTTATATCAGCTAAGTAAAAACATGTTTATTACATTTTTCAATAAATTTTAGCTTATATATATCTTAATTACTTTTACATTCAGCCTTTATAAACAATATTCAAATTTAACTTTTAATATTTATACTTCCAAGTTTTAAATGACCAGTTTTCTTTATCTCATTTTATAACAATATCTAGTATTCAAAGGACACATCTTGTCTATTTGAATATATTCTATTTTGATCTTCACTATTAAGTCAAAACCCCAATTTTCTTCAGCTTTCTTCTCCAACTCGCCTTCTATATTTGTGCTTTTAAGTCATCAAATAGATCTCCCTCTGTTATTATTGTTTGAGATAAAAGAGGCCATCCAGTTGCCATTTTTTTGGGAAGGGCTAACAAATCGTCTCTCTATTTTTCCATCTCGATGTAGTTGTCCTGAAATGTTTATCTTCCCTTCAGTCTGTTCTTCTTGATCCTCAGGTTTCTTCTGGTTTATATAGAGCAGTGGTGGCGAACCTATGGCACGGGTGCCAATGGCGGCACTCAGAGCCCTCTCTGTGGGCACACGCGCCGTCACTGGGTTTTATAAAACCTTTTCGCTTTAGGCCTCCACCACCGTGTACAAAAAAAAAGGTTCAATCAGTCAATTTCAACTTCTCGCGGGAAAAA